ACCCCACATCACCTGCTCGCCCCGACAACGCTCGACCTTGCATTCTTCCAATGTGTGCAGCAGAACAACCCAAAGTATGCGCGAGGCAAGTTTGAGGGCCACCTGCCCTCGCTGCACGTGTACATCTCCGATGCCATCTACATTCAGCTGATGGAGCTGCTCGCCGTCATTGCGCCGCCACAGCCTGAACCCGACGCAGCCCAGCTTGCCCTTGAACAACAGCAACAACAACAACAGCAACAACAACAACAACAGCAACAACAACAACAACAGCAACAACAACAGCAGCAGAACAAGGCAGCGCTGGCGCGCAGACGGGCGCTATCGCGTGTACATGCCGCATCGCCGCGTGCTCCTGGCGGGGCGTCTCCGCTGACACCGCGGGCCCGGGCGCCCACAGCGGTCAGCGGCAGCAACGCCCCCTACGCGTCCTCGCACGGCGCAGAGGACACGGATGATGAGTTCTTCTCGTGCGACGAAGGCAGTGGGAGCATGATGGACGTCTCCAGTGCGTCGTCGTCTTCACACGCGCACAGCGGTGAAGGGGAAGAGCAGCCGCCGGCCATGACAGAGGAGGAGCTGGAGCTCGCACTCGCCCGGCATGTCGTCATTGAGGGCACATTCACCATTGCTCGCATGCGCGTGACGGTGGTCGATACCAGCACAGACGGCGGCGGCGCAGCAGCAGCAGCAGCAGTGCCCGCACAGCAGATAGCACCCCAAACAGCAGTAGCACCATCATCAACAGCCACAGCAACAAAAACAACATCGTCATCATCGTCATCAGCTGTTGTGGGGACGGCAGGCAGAGAGCTGCTCACGCTGGATATTCGCAACCTGTCGCTGGACCGGTTTCGGCAACGCGAAGACATGCTGGCAGAGCTCTCGCTTGCAGGCATCGACATTGTTGATCACCTTGCCCACCACTCCGATGACAGCCACGGTGCTGGTGGTGATGACGCAAATGCGTCGCAGCACGCGGCAGCGAAAGATCACAACAAGAAGAAGAAGACGACGACGATGAAGTCAACGGTGGACAAGGGCGAGAAGAAGGACAAGAAGGGCGACACGAAGAAGAAGAAGACCAAGACCAAGACCAAGACGGCGCACGACGACAAAGCAAAGGACGAGAAGAGTGATGCCTCCAGCCAAGCTGATGGAGAAGCCCCCGGCACACAGCGTGCGCTCCTGTTGGAATCAAACCCACGGACACCCTTGCCTGGCATTGCGTACGAACCAGCAGCCGACAAGCTGATCAGCGTGTACTACACCGCGTGCCCACCAGAGTCACCGCTGTTTGCGGAGGACCATGATCGCATCAAGGCGTCGGCAAAGGTGGACGTTGGTGACCTCCGTTTGACGGTTCGCCAGGAGTCGCTCCGCGTTGTGCTCGCATGGGCGCAGACCACCATGGCCAGTGCCACCGCTGCTTCGGAGGCGGTGCTGGAGGAACAGGGCCTGTCCACCACCGTGCCGTCGCCATCAACCCGGTCACCCGCCACTGTTGCGGAGGAAAGCAGTGGTGACAGCCAGGCAGCCACAGCGGCGGCGGCAGCAACAGCAGCAGCAGCAAGCTATCCTTCCTCGGATGCCACTGCCACCTCACAGCAGCAAACTGGCAAGGCCGCACCGGTTGGTCCAGAAGCGTCTGACGGCATTGTGGACATGGAGGCGACAGCAACGTTTGGGTCTGTGCAGCTGGTGCTGCAGCGGCGCCAGCAGCCCGTGGCGTCCTTCCTGCTTGCCGGCGCACAGGCCAACGTGAGCATGGACGCGAACCGCACGGCCATCAAGGCGTCGCTTGCCCAGCTCAACCTGGCAGACTTGCTGCGCGAAAACCCGTCCAAGCAGATGGTGGTGAGCGTGCTTGGCGCCGACAAGGTGTTCAGTGCCACCGCCATGCTGTGGAACGAGCAGGCCAAAGGCGGCAGCTTCCTCCACCCGGACATGACTGTCAAGCTTGACGTGGCGCAGCTGCGCGTGGTGTTCTTCATGCGCTTCATCACAGACATCACCCGCTTTGCCGGCGCTCTCACCGCAGACCAGCCACCCACTGCAAGCAGCGGCAGCAGCACATCACGCACGACGGCCACCAGCAGCACAGCAAACGCGCATGGTCCCCAATCTGGCGGCAGCCCGCACCGCCGCTCGGACCACCGCATCCAAGTCACTGCTGTCGAGGACGATGACGATGACGATGGCGATGAAGGCGGCGATGGCGAAGGTGCAGGGAACCTACGGGAAATGATGGGCACCGCCAGCAACCCGCGGTCATCGCAGGCCCTCAGCACACACACGAGCACGAGCAGCCGTACGCTCCGCCCGCCATCCACGGGCCGCGGCGGCGGCGGCAGTGCTGGCGGTCGCAAGCGGCGGAGTCGGAAGGGAAGCAGGACAGCGTCCCCGACGCCATCCATCTTCTCGCACCTGAGCAACCTGCCCGCGACGCTGACCATGGCTGAGAAGGCCGCAGCCGTGTATAAGATGGACCTGGACGTGACGCTGCTTGCACCGCAGATTGTGGTGCCGATTGACGCCACCTCCAACAGCGCGCTCGTGCTTGACCTGGGCAAGCTGCAGGTGTCGAACAGCATCGCAAAGGAGCCCGAGATGGCCGAGCGCGACTTTTGCATCGTGGACACCATGAACGTGACGCTGAGCAACCTGCACATGCGCATGATCACGTTTGACGAGGGCGACGGCGAGGCGCGAAAGACGACGGAGGTGATCCACCCCGTGGACGTGAACGTGTGTTTGCGCCGCGCCCTGCTTAACGCGAAACACGAACTGCCCGACATGGACCTCGCCTGCAACATCTCCTCCATCAACTTGGAGCTGAACGACGCCGACTACGTGCTCATCATGCAAATGCTTGCAGGCAATTTGGGGGAGGAGCCCGTGCTGCCCGAAGAAGAAGCGCCACTGGAAGGTGGCACGGGCCAACCAAGTGCCCACAGGCAACCGCAAGCGGCGCCCGTGATCACAGTTGACGGGGAGCAAGGCCGAGAGCACCTCAAGGACAAGGCGCGGCAGCACGCACTGGACGTGATTCGTGGCGAGGACAGCCGGGAGAAGCTTGATGTGACGGCGCTGGAGCGAGAGGCCGTGCGAACGCCAACGCCGCGCCAACACAAACCACCACGCCCACCGCCAGCGATAGTGGCATCCAGCAGTCGTGCGGACGCCCGCAGCCAGCAGGAGGAGGAGCAGGAGGGTGCAGGAGTGGATGGTGAGCGGGCTCGCAGCATCAGCCAGGCCGTTCGCACAACATCGGGCGCTGTCGGAACAGCACCGCCTCCCCACGTTGCAACAAAGGCGACAGTGACGCTGGCGAGCGTGTCTCTGCTGCTGCGCAAGGAGACACAGCCCCTGTGCACGGTGACGCTGAAGGAGTCTGACCTGCACGCGAAGATTGACGCGGATGGGGCCATTCGGGCCGGCGTGGAGGTGGAGGGCCTGGAGATTGTGGATGCACGCCCAGACTCACAGAGCAAGTTCAAGGCGCTGCTCAAGAGCTCCACCACAGCCACGACCACAACCACGAGCACCACAACGACCACGCCTCAGCAGCAGCAGCCACAGCAGCAGCAGCAGCAGCAGCAGCAGCAGCAACAGCACATGTTGGTTGCGCGTGCGAATGTCCTTGATGGTGACACGAGCGTGCGCATGACGCTGCGCGGCCTGGATGTCACCGTGTGCATGGATTTCGTCATGGCACTCGTGGGCTTTTTGCCAGAGGTACCAGACAACACTGCAACTGCTGGCGGCGGGGACACGGGTGACACAAAGAAGGAGGCAATCATGGATGCTGATCGAGCCAGCCGCGCTCCTCGCAGCATCGACGACCTCCTGGACGAGGACCATGATGACGACGACGATGATGATGAAGAGCAAGCAGACGGCGGGAACGTGGCACTGGCCAACACAAGCGAAACAGGCGGAGACGACACTGGTGCGTCATGCTTGTGTGTGCGTGTATGTGTGTGTGTGTGCGTGTGTGTGTGTGTGTGTGTGTGTGTGTGTGTGTGTGTGTGTGTGTGTGTGTGTGTGTGTGTGTGTGTGGGTGTGGGTGTGGGTGTGGGTGTGTGTGTGTGTGCGTGCGTGTGGGTGTGGGTGGGTGGGTGTACGCGTGACGTGTGCTCTATTGTTTGCCCATGTAGACTTGTACCTCTTGATCTGCGTGTGATACCCTTTCACCGGTGCTGCCATTCGCCTGTGTCCCACAGCCGGACCGCCTGCTCCGACGCTCCGCGTGTATGTGGAGGTGGATGACCTGTGCACCAAACTGGTTGAGGACCACACAGACCCGATTTCCCGCGCCCTGCGCCTCGCCTTTGACGTGCAGTGAGTTTTGTCGACACAATTCGTGTTTTCGTTCTGTTTATGCTGGTGTGTGTGCGTGTGTGTACATGTGTGCGCGTATGTATGCATGTGTGTACGAGTGCTGAACAGCTCTACTTCACTTTCTCGACCGCACACACAATGACCACACTGTGCATGCACTCACCACCGCCCACCACTTTCACCAACATTCCCCACCAACATTTCCCCCCCCAACCACCACCACCGTCACCTCTTGCCAGCCTGTTTTACTCTGCGGCAGAGGTTCGCAGCAACATCTCAGTGAACATGACCAACCTGCACATGGCGTCGCTCCGGCCGTGGCGGGGCCAGCGCGAGTTTGTGACAGTGCTGCAGCCGTGTGCGCTCAAGCTTTCGTACTCAACCGATGCGGACAAGGACCTGAACATCATTGGTGTGAACCTCGACCACATTGTCATGAGGTGAGTCCGACGAGAGAAACCACATCACCACGGCCTCGCGTGGGGTGTGCTGTCCTCTGTTGTACGTGTGTGTGTCTGTGTCTGTGTGTCTGTGTCTCTGTGTGTCTGTGTCTCTGTGTCTGTGTGTGTGTTTCACCCTAATCCCACCTTTGCCTTGGCTGCGATTAAATCACCATGCATGTTTCTCCGCGTCCCTCACCTCGCCTCACGCGCACACGAACCCCCCCCTCCCCATCCAAACGCACACGCACAGCGTTGGATACAACGACCTGAAGATTGTGTTATCTGTGCTGGCTGCGCTCGGAGCGGAGAGCAAGCCCGTCGACAACGACCACGACAACGACGCAGAAGCTGCCGATGACGATGCGGCAGACGTGCATACACACACGCGCGCTGAGGTGACGCTGGACACGTCGGAGCAGCTGCTTGGGACGGACCGCTGGTACCTCGAGTCGTACAGGCGCGGGGATGATGGCGATGCGTCATCGCTGCTGTCGAGCGAATCAGCAGAGGACGAGGGCGAAAACGGGCGCGGAAACAGGCACGAGCTGATGTTTGGACGGTTCTCCCCCGCGCACATGATGGCGGAGGAAGGCGAGGCCGAGGAGTGGATTTCCCGCTCAACAGCGCAGGTGGAGATTGGCAGCATCGACATCACGCTGATTGACGACTTTGACAAGCAGGACCAGCCCATGCTGCTTCTCAGCTCGGACCTGTTTGTGTCTGCGAAGAACGTCATGTCGACCAAGCTGCCGCTGGACGTGTGGGCGAGCCTGTCGCTCTCCGTCGCGTTTTACAACCCGCGCGTGTCAACATGGGAGCCTGTACTCGAGCCTATCCTCGACACAGACACGCGGACTCCGCGGCCATGGCAGCTGCAGGCGCACGTACGCATGCGGCAAGGCGATCAGGGCCAGCTCACCTCCACCGCCATCGCCGACATGGACACCGGCGACACGAGCGTGCACCCGGACGCGCTGCCGGATCTGCTGTGCGTTGTGACCGCCGCGGACCGGCTGGAGATCAACTTCACCAACGCCTTCTACTCTGTGATCATGTCAAGCGTGTTTGTGGCTGGGGAGGAGGAGTGCGTGAAAGACGACGCGGCCGTGCTGCAGCACCAGGCGGTAGCCGAAGTGCAGGAGGCGTCGCTGGCACAGACGGTCACCATCAAGCGCGAGTTTGTGGAGTATCTGTTTGTCAACTCCACTGCGCATGAGATGACGCTGACGCTGCACCACCCCAACCGAAGCATCACAGACGACACGCGCACGGTCAGTGGTCGTGGTCGCTTGTCTGTTGGTGGTGGTGGCGGCACGATAACACGCTGTTGTGTGCTTGTGGCATGCTGCTGACGTGTGCGTGTGCAATGCGTCTTGTGTGTGTGTGTGAGCGACGCATCATGTGTGTGTGTGTGCGTGTTCGTGTGTGCGACGCGTCATGTGTATGTGTGTGTGCGAGCGCGCGCGTTGATCTAACCTGCCTGCCCAATGTGTGTGAGTGGCTTTTGTTTTGTACCCTTTCATGTTCTTTCGTATCCTGTCATATTTGGCTGTCGTGGGCGATGGCTTGTTTGCCGTGTGTTTGTCTCATTCGATTCGTTGGCTAATCCTCCGTGCCTTCTTCACCCACTCACCTTGTTTTCGAAAAAATGCTTGCTGCCAGCAGGTGGTTGTGGAGGCCGACGCCACTGTTCCGCTGCTGTTCCCGGCAGAGACTCGCCGTGAGCGCACGTACATGCGTGCACTCGCTGCCGGCACGACCTCGTCTGAGCGGCGCGTCACCATCAGCTTGCCTGGCTGCCAGCCGCTTGTTGGTGTGCACGTGGAAGGCGTGGGTCGGTTTGGCCACCGGCTCACCACGGCGGACGGCAAGCGCACGCTCTGGTGTGTTGTTGAGGTCGAGATGAAGGGCGCCATCAAAATTGTCACCGTCCACAGCACGTTCCAGGTGCGGTGAACACATCTCTGCATTTTGGTCACATGCATTTTGTGTGCGTGTGTGTGTGTGTGTGCGTGTGTGTGTGTGTATGTGTGTACATTAGTTGTGTTGCTTGCTCCCATCGTGAAAACGCGCTGACACAATTCGCCCCGCCTATATTGGCTGCACTCTCACTCACACAGGTGCACAACAGCCTTCACATTCCGCTGGATATCGGCTGCAAGCTCAACGACCAAATGGTGTCATTGAGCGAGCTCGCACCAGGCGACACCTTCAGGTACAGGCAACTCGGGCGTTTTATCTTGTCTTGCATGGTTTTGCATTCCATGCTCTCAATTCCCATCACATCACGCTAGCAACGTTCTTTTGGGCGTATTCACGCGAGCGCTCGCAAAGATTGATACAATGTTCGCCCACTCACGCACGTGCGCACTGCATACACCACTCACACGCATACACGTTCACGCACAAACTACGCTCACACACACACACACACACACACACACACACACACACACACACACACACACACACACACACACACACACTCACTCACACACTCACACACACACACACTCCCTTCTTTTCCACAATCATTCACACACCGTGTGCACGCCAGCCTGCCGCTGACGGTTGCGATCCGCGGATTCCACGCGCGCCCGTCCGGCCTCGCATATGCGTGGAACCCGGAGCCCATCTGCTTCTCGTCTCGCCCGCGCATGTTCATCCAGTGCAACCCAGCAGCTGCGGCAGCAGCGGCGGACGGAGCCAATCTCGTCTCGAGTGTGTCCACGTCGGGCACCCACACACAACCAGCGACAGGCGAGGCAACAGCAGCAGCACCAGGTGGAGGCGAAGGAGAAGGCGACGGTGACGTTGGCAATGACGATGAGGGCGCAGCAGCGGACGACACGGCACCCAGGGGTCCAATGGCGCTCCAGGCCGTCATCCAGCGCCTCAAGTTTGATGCGGGCGTGCCGAGTGCGAGCCACCCCTGTCACGTCGTCACGTTTTCGGCGCCGCTGATTGTGCGCAACCTGCTGCCAATGCCGCTGCACCTGAAGCTGTTGTGTGCAGACAACGAGGAGCTGGACGGCACCACGATCCATCTGCAGGCTGGCGAGCGCTTCCCTGTGATTGGACAGCTGACGGGCCAGGTCCAGGCGCTGTACTACCACTCGTGGATGGAGGGCAAGCCCAAGTTTGCACGCAGCGTCAAGAAGAAAGAGGGTGCGGCAACGGAGCACGCAGACAACGGCACAGTTGCCCCTCCACAGGACCACCGCAATGGTGACAGTGGTGGTGGCGAGAACGATGATGAGGACACGGAGAGCAACATTCTTGTTCCAGACGATGCGTGGCAGGGGCCGTTCCTTCTCTACAAACCTCGCCAGTGGCAGAAGGTGAGCGCCAGCTGCGCGTACTCACAGGCATTGCTTATTTAGGTTGAGAAGGCAAGATGGGAGGTTGGGGGCGGGGTAGCTTACGTCTCGGCTGAATGAACAGCCTGCAATGCCTGCGTTAGTTTGCGCTTGTCGGGGCTCCCTTCTGTTACTCATGCCGCTGTCGCATTTAATCACACACGCACACACACACACACACACACGCACACACACACGTCCGTCTGCCTGCTGGGTCCTGAACTTGACACGAGCAGCAAACGGAACAGAGTGTCAAGTGCGAGCGCGAGGTTGACGGTGCGAGCGAGCAGTTCCACATGCACGTGTTGTCACAGTCGACCGGCACACGCGGCGCCAGCACCCTGGTGACTGTTGCCGCCCCTTACTGGATCGTCAACCAAACCGGGCGAACCATCCGCTACCGCCAGCGCGGCGACGAGTTTGAGGGCCCGTCTTTGCGCGTGCACAAACCAGAACAGACACAGCCAGAGCTGTTCAGTCTCGGCGTGCGCCCGTCCACCACGGTCCGCTTTGCGTTTGAGGACTCCGGCAAGTGGTCTGAGGCGCAACGGCTGGACACGGTCGGCCACTCGTTCCCCATCACGCTGCCCATCACCCGTGGCGCAGCCGACGAGGAGGTGGTTGGCCAGACGGAAATTGCTGCCAGCATTGCGCTGGCGCAGGGCAACCTGACGAAGATTGTCACGCTCGTGCCGCGGTTCATGCTGCACAACACGAGCACCCACACGGTCCTGTGCGCTGAGGCGGCAGTGTCGTTGACGCGGGGCAGTAGAGGACGCGAGGGCGTGATTGAGCTCGCACCAGGCGACTGCGTACCATTTTGGCCACAGCGCGAAGAAGCCTTGCTTCGCGTTCTGTACGTTTGTGGCATCAATTCGCACTCACATTGGGTTTTTTTTTCTTCGTTTGCTTGCCTTGGTGGTTTGTTGTTGTTTGTTGTATGCGTGCGTTGTGCTTCGTGGGCGAGGCTGAGAGCTAGGGCTGCGGCTTGAAGCTTGTGTGAACGATAGTCATTCATGCTCACACGCACACTTATGTTCATTCGCGCCCACTCACACAGCACACACGCACACTTATGTTCAAACACACACACACACACACACACACACACACACACACACAAACACACACACACACGTGCTGTTCTGCCCGTGTTTTCAAGGCCACCGGATGCGGACAAGCCGAGCAATGCGTTTTCCGTCGCCAGCGCGCAGGATGTGTCGCTCCTGTCGCCGATTCGTGACAATGAATTCAGAGTCATTCGCGTCGCTGTTCGCCCGCAAGACGTGAGCGCCGGCGATGCCATGCCATGCTTGCGCGTGCATAGCTGTGCATTTGTGTGCATGTGAGCGGATGCAGTGACGATAAGGCGCATGGCTTGGCCCCTGTTCACATGAATCACGCACCTGTGCTGACGTCTGTGGCCACACACACTCTCTCGTTTCTACACACATATTCATACACACACACATTCACACACACACGAACACGCACACACATACACACACACGAACACTCACACACACACGCACGCGCATGTGTACACGACGTGACGTGTGCAGGCGACGATGGTGGCGACGCTATCAGACTATGACGGGCTCGCAGACGTGCGCATCGAGAACCGCTGCGCAGCAAAGGACTTGACGGTGGAGTACAGACAGGCGGAGAGCGCAGAGCCGTTTCACGCTGTGGACGTCCTGCATGAGCGCAGCTTTGTTCGACCGCAGGCCACGGTGGGATGCCTTGTGCTTGCCGTCACGTTGCTTTGCGTACTACGATGCGTGTGTATCCGCGTGCACGTGTATGCATGTGTGTGTGTGGGTGTGGGTGGGTGTGGGTGTGAGTGTGATTGTTCGTGCAGGTATGTTTATATGCAAGTGTGTGGTAGGTTGCTGCCTTCTTTCCTGTTGCTCATGTGGATGATGATTTCCTCTGTATGTTATCTATTTTTCCCTGTTTCTGCTTGCAACCCCTTATGCACATCAGGGCAAGAAGGAGATGGAGATTCGCATCCCGCACTGCCACGCTTCGTTCGCACACACGTTTGGCAAGTTCTACGTGAAGCAAGTGTGCAAGAACAGGGGCCAGCCCGTGTACGCCGTCTCGTTCCCCGACAATGCGCAGCCTGTGCTGCTGTTCACAGACAACAGATTGCTTGCAAGCAAACTTCGTCGGGCATGGTGCGTCATGTGGTGCAAGTGACTACTCGGGTGTTTGGCCTGTTGTCATGTGGTGTGTTCTCAATGTGCACACCTCTGCACACACATGTTTGCATGCCAACGCTTTAGTTCTGCCACACGCCTGTGCTCATCCCACCTAACCCCGCCACGCCACACCCACCCCGCATACCTCGGCCACCCACACAATTGCCCTCGCCTCCACAAAACAAAACTTATGTCACCAATGTTTCCATCTCCACAGCGGTCTTGAGCGGGACTCGAAGAAGGCCGGCAACGACATTGACCTTGCGCCCCGTATCCACAAGATGCAGTCGTACTTCAATGTTGCGCTCACGGGCGTTGGCCTCTCCCTCGTCGACGACAAGGTCTGTCTCTTGCGTGTGTGTGTGTGTGTGTGTGTGTTTGTTTTTGTGTCTGTGTGTGTGTGTGTGTCTGTGTGTGTGTCTGTGTGTGTGTGTGTGTGTGTCTGTGTCCGTGTGTTTCTGTGTCGGTGTCGGTGTGCGTGTGTGAAGCTTGCCTCTTCAGTCAGTTCGACCCGTGTAACCTCCCCGACACACACACACACACACACACACACAACCACACGACATCGCGCACCCTCTCACACATGCCACTGCGTCCTGTCCCGTCCTGCAGCCGATGGAGGTTGCGTATCTCAGCATCAATCCGCGCAAGACGTGGGAGTTTGCGTTGGACACGAGCAACCAGTGGGGCGAGGACTGGGAGCGCCTTGGTGTTGGCGCTGTGAAGACGCTCGACGCTGCGCTGGCTGCCGGTCGTGACTCTGCCCGCATCAACGACAGCATGACGGCGGATCTGCACAATCTCGTCCTTCGCGTTTCTTCCGAAGACGTGCGCACGTGGTGTTTGATTTACACGTGGTGTTTGATTTGCCTAGTTTGGTCATTTTGTTGTTTGGTGGCGTGTATTCCTGAGTGCGTGTGCGTGTGTGCTAAGGTGAATGTCACCCGTGCGAGCACCGGACGATGTTGGAGCTGTGTCCGTTTGCCTTAATGTCTCCGTTGCTCACCAGGTTCAAACACTACCTGCTGCATTCTTTGTTTCCTGTGCACCATGCGATGCGGCGGTGGCACCAGGAGCCCATCCTGCTGCGCCACCACTCCCACCCCGGCCTGGCGCTGACGTACATCGACTGCGAATACACCACCGTCTATCGCGTCATTCTCGAGGACTTGCAGCTGGACAACCAGGTCTGTGCTCACCAACAATTTTGGCGATGGTGTGTTGCTCGTGGTTACGCGTGTTCCCACATCTGCCGTGTGTGGTGACGTTTGCTGTGCCGTACACACACACACACACACACACACACACACACACACACACACACACACACACACACACACACACACACACGCACCCTACCTTCCTCCGCCGTCCTTACTCCCTTCATCGTGCCCCTCTGGGTCTCCATACCGCGCTGTCACTCAGTCGCCAGAAGCTGAAGATTCAACCGTCCTCACCATCGTCCCTCCGGCCCAGTCCGTCTTCCCACAACCGTCAGCCGTCAAGGTTTGCAAGACCTCACTGTTTACTTGTTTGTTTGTTTGTGTGCGTTTGTTTGTTTGTGTGCGTTTGTTTGTTTGTTTGTTCGTGTGCGTTTGTTTGTGTTTGTTTGTTTGTTTGTTTGTGTTTGGTTGCTTGAGTTGTTGCTGCATGCGCAGTTTGCGGCATAATGTTTCATCCGCAGCAGCTCACACCATGCGCTGATACCTTGCCTCTTGTATGCACAGGTGCTCATTGTGGAGACGAAGCAGCTTGGGGCAGCCACCCACGTGCGCATGCTTCCACGCGTGTCCGTTCTTCTGCAGAAGATGAACCTGTTTGTCACGGACACATTCGCCTTCAAAGTCATGGATGTGTTCAAGCTGGCCCTTCCCGAGGAGGATGCACTGGTGAGCCGTGATGCGCTGTTCTGCGTACGTGCACCTGTGGAGGGAACGATGGTGATGGTGGTGGTGGTGGTTGGTCTCCCTTCAACTCGAAACAAACCCGTGATTGAACACATGCTGTATCCCCTCTCTTCACGTGGTGTGTTTTGGTTTTCCCCCCTTTCCAGGCGCATGTGGACGTCGGCAGCGACGTGACGTGGGCGGAGAATGCTCGAATGGTGATTGGCGATGACAGCGATGGGTCAAGAACACACACGCGCGTCT